CACTGTGGACTGCTTCCCTGGAAGAAAAGCAGGCCTTTGGTATGTGGCTACATAGTGGCTTGAATATGGCCAGCGCTAACCCTCAGCGCCAGGTGTCACAGCGGGCTGGTGGCAGTGTTTCCAGCCTGTGTAAAGGCAGCAACAGAAAGTTTGCCGATTTGGCAAGGGAGAGGGGCTTTGCACTGGCTGGATTTGGGTTGCTGTAGCCACCGACTGGGGTCTGTCTCGAGAGCTGCTGCCTGCTTTCCTCCAAGGTGGTCTGTAGTGTAGGGAGTAAGGCAGAAGACAGACTTTGATTACGTTAGCTGCATAAACATGAACACAAAGCTGCAGCCGTTAGCCTTTGACTCCGGTTAGCAGAGGGGTAAGCAATTCGCAATGTTGTGTTTTATTTTGTGTACTGTCAGACACTCTTTTTGATAAGTCCATTTCCTTTTTCAGGTTGCTGTGCAGTGTAGGCAGTTGTTGACAATGCTGGAATAGCAACTTTCTTTGCAGAATTCTCCGCCATTTAATCAGGCTTTCAACAAAGGGACAGGCACGCACATCTGCATTTGTAGAACAGCCTGTAGGAACGACCTCTATATGAAATGACCTCTGATATGCCAAAGTCTCATGTCACTAGATTTTCTAAAGCCTGAAAACAGAGCCAAGAACAGGTGCAATAGTCTAGCTTTCTCTCAGTCTGTTTAAAATGTGCTCAAAGTTTGGGATTTTTGCCCAATGATGCCAAAATAAAACTATCCACAAACTCCAGCTTCACCTATGTGAGGAATGCTGCTTTTTTTTCTCTCCTATGAAGAAAATAAATACTTTTGGGTAGCTTTTTCCTGACATTCTGGTGATAGAATAATTAGCAGTTACAATATGCATTTAATTCAGAGGAGACAGGGTTCAGGCTGAGAGGGTCTTTTTAAAATGGCACCAGAATGCATTTTCAGCCATTTATAGATGCTGGGCTATGTTTCCAAAAAGTGCCAAACAGTAATTTGCTATCGATCTGTCTCTCTGTGCTTCAATTCTCCTCTTTTAGAGCTGATATGTTCCACAAAACGTCTGCCTTTCAGTGAGGTCAGCACCAATCTGAAGCAGCATTTCTCATATTTTGACATATTGCTGCTATGTTTGGGCCTGAAGGCTTACCATGCAGTTGTAGAGATCTTGTTTACCATCGTTACAGTTTGTATCCTGTGGGAACAAAGGGAATTTAAAAACACCTTCACTACAAGGTCAGGGGCTTCTTTGAAACGCACACAAAGGGCCACTGCAACAAGAAAAGGCGATAGCTGGGCTCGGCTCGCTGTACTGTATTTTTCTCTAAAAGCTTGGATCGTTTTACACTTTACCCCTAAACACACAATAGTGACTGACAACAGCCATCCTGGGGAGGAGGAACTGACCTAGAGGCTGGAAAGCTGCGATGGCAGGTTGACCTATAAGCTTGATTTGTGTTTTCTGAACTTGGTGGGAAATTCTGGCAGCAACATCACAACTCTCAGCTGTTTGCTTACTGTAACAACTGTCTCTGCCCTCAAGCAAGGCACCTGAGCCACACCTGCTCTAGCTCTATTACAACTAGTACACTCCTGAGGTTGTACCAGGCAGGTCAGGTGTGGAGCTACACAAGTGTGAGGAAGACTGAGAAATAAAACGCCCTCTCAGTCCAATAATCCTGCATTAATAAATGTTTAAATAAAGGCAATTAGACAGAACCGCTTTAAAAAGATAAGCTCCTCTCTTCCTAAACAGCCATTAAAACTAGGTGAAGTATAAGCCTGGAGCAGCCCCCTGTTAATACAAATCTCATGCTTTGAATAATAGGCAGGGATCATAAGTCTGCTCTGCGATGAATTAAAACAATTATTGTCAACAGTTTATCTGTAGGATATATTCTTCCTTCAGACAAAAAAGGGAACACTGCATTGCAGAAGGAGAAAATAAAGCCCCTGTGTCTTTTGCATCTTATTTTTGGAAACCGATTGCCTCTGAGAAGACTTGCTGTCTCTGTCATCATTATATGATGAGTCACAGGCAGTGGGGCGCCAGGTGTCGATGTGAAAAAAAGAACAGAGACGCACAGTATATGAAAGGACATAAATTTGTTTGGGTTGTTTTGAATCTCTATGATTTCCATTTTTTAAAGTAGATTAAATGTAACTGAATTGTTATTTCAAATGTATTTACAACAACAGAAGCACTGTAATTTCAGATGCAACCCTTTATGAACAACTATAGTTCAGTGATTCCCCTGTCATTACATCTATCTGACGACCAACTGACCGACGAGCTATTACTGATTTCGTTAAGGAAGTATTTAGAATATATATTGGGAGGAGACAAGTCCCCGATGATATTCAAATATGCTCATAGTAACCCGCCACGCCCAATATATTGATTAAAAAAGATATATAACATACTTCAAAAAATTGCTATCCTACAAAAAGCAACAACTCACTGCTGTCTGAAATAATCATGAGCAATGTAATCATAATCATAATAAACTGAACAAATTGATTACTGCTTCTAGTATACACTAGGTATGTTCAGTTTAAACACTGTGCTGTCTCTCTATTTCATTACTTTCAAATGTAATAAAAAGTGGAAAACTAGAATGTAAAATGAGTGTTAACTTATCAGTCACTTATGCTGTGTTGCATGTGTATTTATGGAGACAGTGGTATCTTTAATTTACTGCATATTCGTACAGTATGCTGCATAGCTGTACTTGTTTATGATGATTAATAAAATAGGAAATGAGTTCTCAAGTTTTGATTGTTTCTTTCTTTTTTAAAGACCCCTGACCCAGATTTAGTCCCCCCAGTGTTTCCATGGCTGTAGCTTTGGATTTCATTCATTTATTTTTTTAAATAAATGTATTTGTACATTAAGAAATAAAATTGACATTCAAGGTTAATATAATGTTCCTTATCATAGTTCAAGTATCGTGTTTCTGAATGCTGTGTTATTTCTGGGAAAGAAGAAAAAAAAAGTTTGGACTGTTTATCGTTCGAAGGCTGCTTATTATTTGCTCAGCTGTGGCATGCAATGTTGCGGCAAAATGCACTTCCAAGAACCGAACACTGTCTGACAAAAAACCAAGTCAAAAATATATAAGTTCTTTGAAAGAGACAAACACCATCAGCCTGGCAGCAGAAGCAATGCAAATACATCAAGCGCTGCCTCTGGACCACCAAAGAAACACAGGTGGACAGGATCTGACCCAGTTTGGCTGAAAAGTACAGTTGCTAGCTGGCTATTATTTAACTGAGATGTTTACCAGGTACCCCATCCATTGGTACTGCACCGCAACCCAAATGTGTTCGTTATCGTTATTCAAAGGTTATTGACAGGAAACTCCTAATTTTACTGCTCTCATAGTGATTTCTTACAAGTCCAAATATGCGAGTCTGAGGGACTTTCTATAGATTTAAACTTACAATGTTACATGTACTGTTCATACTTTTAAAGGCAACTGGAATTTAATCTATTGTTATTCAGTACTATTTGAGGCTAGTTGATCTTCCAAATTTCTAAGTTTCATGACTATCTGAAACAAATAGCAGGCAATATGTTAAGGACTTTTACATCTACAATCCCAGATTCGCTATGAGTTCTTCTGAGATCCAGAAGTCACCAGCCTATCAATCACACCAGCAGGATCCTAACATGATGTCATGCCAGAAATAAATAAAATAAGAGTTCCTCGTCCTGTCAGACTTCCCCGGTCTAAACCCAGAGGGGAGAGATGGGGATGAAGGGACACTGCAGTGTCAGAATTTGGCTCTGGATTTCCTGACACCATCTTGTCAGAGATGACAACTTGCTGCTTCAGCTTGACAGCAATAATTTCTCACATTAACTTCATTCTGCACTTTTCTGCCTCTGGCTGAAGAAAGTTTCCATACCAAGCTTGTGATATAAGAGCTAAAAATTACCCTAACTTGACTGGTAAAATAAAGTCAGAAACTTTGAGAAAAATAACACTTACTGAGGTGTAAGTGTAACTGAGGTGTAAAGTGTTTCTTACATTTTCAAAATAATAATCTGCAAGACTGACTGATTTCAGTGATGTGCTAATGTCGCGCTTCTCAGCAGGGGGTGGGGAGCTGGCAACAGCCCCCCTAGGGGGCATTTACAGAATTTTGGGGGGTGCTGGAAGCAATATTTTTATAAAGGCAGCATTGGTGTTCCTTAAGAACGATTGTGTGTGTCTGCTTTTGATGCCTGTTTAGTCGAACCTGCACATTTTCACAATGTCATCGTTAGACTTAATTGTCACCCATCACCTGAATTTTTTATTTTTCCTTTGATGCACCCAATTACTGCTTTCTGATTGGCTGCTGTTTGTGATCAATAACGAGCCTAATTAGAGTGAAAGTCAAATTGCTAATAGCTGCATTTTTTTAACACTCATTAATATAATTTCTATTCACATGGCTTTTTTGCGCCCCGGAAAATTAATGATAATGTTATTACAACTCTGTCCATTTCAATCAAATCAGTTATTTAGCATTCATTGACATGCTTTTTGGTGACTTAACACAGAATAATAATCAACATGGGGCATCGGTGGCTTAGTGGTAGAGCAAGCGCCCCATGTACAAGGCTGTTGTCGCAGCGGCCCGGGTTCATCTCCAGCCATGTCTCTCTCTCTCTCTCTCCCCCCTTCACACTTCACTATCCTGTCAATTACAGGCAAAAAAAAAAAGAAAAAAAAAAAGAATAATAATCAACATTACTAATCTTGGAAGACAATTCTTGGATAATAGATAGGAGGGCGCTGGCCCAACAAAGGTTGAGAACCACTGCACTAGTGGTTAGAATCCTAAAAACTGCACACAACATCATACAACAAAAGCTATGTCAATAAAGAAATCTGAAATCTGATATATGTTAAACACTGTTTGAATAGATACTAAATGTATCAACATAACTATGGTTGCTTTAAGAAAAAACCCAGATCTTTTCAAGTTGTGTTTGTTTTTTCTGTGTTGTTGCAGAACTTATTGTCAAATTGGCGAAGGACAAGTTTGGAGCCATTCAGACGGAATACCAAAAGGTAATGTGTGTGTGTGTGTGTGTGTGTGTGTGTGTGTATTAAACTGACTGGTTTGTTTTCTTTACTCTAGTGCATTATGTTTCTCTAATTGAATGCAACAACTTATAATATAAATTCCAGAAGAAATGTACGTCTGAGATACTCTGTAGACCCTGACTGCTCAGGTGTTAATAGCTTTTACAAGCCAAGGCCAAGCCATCTTTTTACTGGCACCACAGGAAAAAAAAAAACGGTAATTGCTTCTGGCACAACCTGTGAATTTAGAGAGAGATACATCATTTGAGTTTTTATGAGGAACAACTCTGATAATCAAAGAGTTTTTTTAGCTTTTTGACAGTCCCTGAGATCAAAAAGTTCACTTTGTACATTCCTTTCAATTACGGGAGACTTTGCTATCTGTGTGCAGCGTTACAATATACAGCTATGTGGATATGCATGCCAGTTCTGACTCCTTTGATTTCTCTTTTTTGTTGTTCTATTTCATCCACATGTTTTTTTGTTTTGTGGCTTTGCTCTTTCTTTGACGCTGCGTTGCCTTCTGCATGCCCTCTTCATCTGATCTGCTCTGATCTGATCTGGCCTCCCTCAGCCAGAGAACATAGTGCTGACCCTTCAGGTAAAGTCTGCACACTGGACTTACAGTGCAACCCATCCCCTGTCTCATCATGCTCCACTGTCCCGAGTCGCCAGGGCTGCACAATTCAAGCAAAGACGTACAAATCGTTCCACTTTAGTTGACATGTTACTACTGTTTTTTTTGTTTGTTTGTTTTTTTAAATTTCAACATCTTTATCAATCAAAAGTTTGTGATTAATTGTGCAGCCCTATGACTCTCACCCTGCCATCCCATCCACCTTACAAACCCCAATTAGCTTTTCCTTAACTGTAAAGTCCTGATTCAGATCTTCAGCATCATGGAGGAGCAACAATGCTGACTGAAAAGGAAGCGCTTCAGTGCTCTAGAATGAAATTCAGAGTATTAGTAACAATCTTTACACCAGTGTGACGGCCTCGATTTTCCTGTGTTATGCTCACTGTGAAAAAATAGCCTTTGTTTTCCTACTCAGCTGCTCAGGACATGTAGCCTGTGGCATGTATCACAAACCAGTACATTCCTGTCAAAGCCATATCAAACCAAAGGAATAGAATAACAATATGAGTTTGGCAAATTTTACTTAAAAGACTAAACCTTTTCTACTTAATCTGTATTAGCATGAATCAATCTGATTATTATACCTGATACTATGGAAGAGCCTTATAGTAAAGCAATGAAGATGAATAAATGCAACCCCGTCGGCAGAAAAAGTTGGCATTGTACATTTCTGCAAACCACAGATATGTTACATTTTTAGGCTATTATGTAGCCAATATGTTGAAACTTGCTATGGTTATATTTAGGCACTAAAATCTCTTGGTTATGGTAGGGAAAATATCCTGTTTCAGCCTAAAATACCAGCTATTGGGGGGACAATCCCAGCAGGAAATGCAGCAGTGTCTTCGTAAAAAAAAAACAACTGCTTTTCGTTGCACTATCACTGGGGGAAAAATAGCAGTGGTTCACTAAAAAACACCAATGTTTGGTGACTAAAAAGATGTTGGAAATACAGCAATGACTTGCTAAATTACAACCACTTCTGTTGTTTGTTTGCTTGTCTTAAACAGTGGTCTGCTGCTTAGCAGGTGTCTTGCCTCTGAGACACTCCATCCAACATCCCCTCTGCCTCTAGATGATAAAATCAGCTCATATACTATGTCACTATAGAAATGCTGATATGATACGCATAAAACATACAAATGTAAAGTATTTGTGGTTTGCAGAAAGACACAATGCCAACATTTTCCTCTGGTAGCTGAGCTGGTAAATGTATACCAGTGAATAAACATAAGTGTTCAGACAGAATAGCTTTGAAAGGGCTGGCCAGCTGTCGACTTTGCTTCTCAGCAGCATTTGCTCTGATATCCACCCAAACTACAGCGAGGATGACACACACACACACACACACACACACACACACACACACACACACACTTGATCTTTTGTGTGCTGATGTTGGCAGAACTAGGTTTTACTACTATAAATCTCCACACACTGACCTGGACCACTGACACACAGTAAGCAGCACTGCCACGGCTTCATAAAAACATCCATGCTCCAAAGAGCTTTAAACACATCACTCGAGAAATAACAAAAACATCAAAACCTCTCTGTGTTTGCTCACTCATTACTAATGAGAAGGAGATTATCATCTTTCTCTTCCCTCCTAAAATGTGTGATTTATAATAATAATAATAATGATAATAAAACACACTGAACCAACCAATGTTTACAGATGGCACAATTTTCTTTGCTTCACTGAGGAAATAAATTACTTTATTTTTGCATAAGATGGTCCAAGGACAATGAGGCGCAATAGGAGGTGCAGCGTTTTTTCGGCTGAGATGGTTGCGTCTGGTTGCTATGATACAGAATATCCATGAAAATAAAACAGCACAAGGTAGAGTACATACTCTAGATGAATGGAAGGCGGAAGAACATAGGTAGAGAGGATGGACCTGCCAGTCTGTGTGGGTTCAGTTATAATTCCTCCTCCATTGATGTTATATTGTTCAGAGATGTGACGGTTGGTCTTTGCGATAGGCTATTTGTCCCGCCCCTCCTCCACTGTAATTGGACAGCTGGGTAAAAAGTGACATTGACGAGCAGCTAGAGCGTTTTAGATATGTAGCGGATATGTTGAAACTTGCTATGGTTAACTTGTAATTATACTTAGGCACAAAAATGACTTGGTCATGGTAAGGAAAAGATCATGTTTTGGCTTAAATTACCAGATATTGGAGGAACAATCCCGGCAGGAAACACAGCAGTGTCCTGGTAAAAAACAACCACTTTTTGTGGCACTATAATTGGACTGTAATCAAATAATCAAACTGTAATTGGACGACTGGGTAAAACATGACAGTGACGAGCAGCCGCAGCGTTTTACCCGAAGCGGAACTAAGTGAGCACAAAAAAAGGCAAATGTGCAGCACTCAGCACAGAATAGTTGCTCAGCGCCTCACTGCTGGCATTTGTAGAATAGTGTAAGTACGTAGTGCTCCCATGAAATTAGTAAAAGTAAAAACGTGAGCATACCGGTGGTGGCGGTTGCTTGCCTTCTCCTGCCATTGGCTTATCGATTGTGTAGTATATTGTTGTTATCCCGTCAGCCTGATTGAAAACAGACAAACTTTTTCTTTCAGAGTACCAAATACGACGGACTCTGTCTTAATATAATGTTAAGGAACAGCCGAAAAGTGACATGTTAATCAGTGTAATTCAAATATCAGTCCAGTTGCTCAGCCGGCATATCAAAATGAATGAGTTGTAGGTTTTTGGAATTAGCATTGCCCTTCACTATCTCCTGTTTATCTCCACCAAATAAATGCAAAGCAGATCAACCACGCCTTAAAATTTCAACAAGAAGTGCACCAGATAACCTTCCTGATCTCTTGTTGTAGGACTGCCAATCAGTAAAACATCCTAATGTATCTTGGTTTGAGTCTAAGCCTCCCCATGGAGGATTTGAATACCTCAGCTGTGATCAAAGGCTTGCAAATGTTTGTGAGGCAGCAGAATAACATGTTTCTTTCATGTTTCTCTTGTGGTTGCACAGTGGTATCCATTCCAATTTATTATCAGCCAACAAGATCTGAGGCACAATGAAAAAAACAAACAGACGCATGACATTAATTCATTCACAGTGGCTTGTATAACTAAGGCATTTAGTTTACAGTCAGTGAGCAGTTTTGGATAACAGCATCTTGCTCGAGGACACTTCAGCAGGCCTTGTGGCTGCTGCTTTGATTTAAATCTGATTAAAGTTACCAAATTGCCTCGTCTTCACCACTCTGACGTGATGCCACCTCATCATCCAGTTTGTTCTTATTGGAAGGTCACTTTTTCTTTTGGGCACTGGCCAAGACAAAGCTGTGCTCCAAAAATAGTTGGAGCTGCAGGCCCTTGAAGAGTGGCGGTGGAAAAAAATAAAACATTTTGACCTTTTTTTTGGTGAAGATTCACCCAATAACAAGCAGAGCCCAGAAGCAGAATGACAATGCAAGCGTTCAGATTTGCAAAATGTCCTCAACAACTGAGCTGACATTGGTGCTTTTAGCTGACAGACCACACATACACTCACACATGCCCAGTGTCTCTCTTTTTGCCCCTTCTTTGCCTCTCTACATCTTCAAAACTCTGGTTCTCTCTATTTCTCTCAGTTTCCACTGACCCTGAAATCATCCATGGTTTGATTCCTTAAGGTCAGAAAGCATGTGACTGACAGTCTTTCTCTCCCTACATCTTGTAAACTATGTTTTTGACACAGCCAGGGGCCTCCCTCATCCAAACACTAGCTTTTGGAGGTTGGATTATGCTCACCGCCCGAGACTTCCAAGTTTGCACAGAGACTTCCGAATGAACCAAAGAGAAATACTCCTCTCTGACAACTTCAGAAGCCATTTCTTTTCACCCTGCGTGTTAAAAAGCAAAAAGCAGCAGGTCCCTGGAGAAAGCAGGGTCATTGACTTATGAAGGCGATTAAGATTAGTGTGAATCAGCCGGGAGAGCAGTTCGTCCATTCAGGAGCAGTGATAGCAGCCCTGCTTTGATCCTTTCATAAGGAGAAGCTATTGAACATCATTGTGACAAGTTACATGTGGTGTGGGAATTACCAATCCCCTATTCAATTTTGCCAATTTCCACAGCCTGTGCTGAGTGTGGTTCAGATAGTGGCAGATTAAGTGGGAGCACTGTGGTACATGACAAGGGGAGGTTGAAGCTCCACTGAGAATCTGCCAACAGCAGCAATTTAACTCTCTCAATATATCAGGAGGAATTTGTAAGAAATCAAGTTGAGTCACCTTGAATATTTCTAATATTCAATCAAAGTTGAGGATTATTGGGGCTCTGTGATGAGGAATGTGCAGATTTCATAGTTGACTATTCGGAGACAGAACACAATCCTAATTCAAACAGAACAAACTAAATACAAAGTTTATATTGGAGTATATGACAGTCAGCACTCCTCCACTCACTCCTGTGTTAACAGGCTCAATCCATGCATTTTAATATTACTGGTCCTCACCACAATTTGCTCCCTCTCTGACCTCCCTACACTCCTACTAACTGTTTAACCTACACAACAACTGCCTTCTAAGCTTAACAATCTAACAACTCAAATCACAAGTGCGTGTGAACTTGAATGACAATGTTTTACAGGTGAAAACCACAAGAATGAATCTTGACAACTAGTTTGTCCAGTCAAGTTGAGAACAGTCACACTGCAACTATTTGGCTTCTTACATCCATCCCTGCAATGCTTTACTATGGATCCTGCTGCAAGCTGTGATTGACTGCTAATTATCGAAGGGTTGAAGGACAGAGGAGGTTAGGGTTAGGGCAAAGAGATCATGGATAGGGCTAGTGCTAGCCGATCGTGGATGCTCTCTGAGATTGAAGCCAGATAGGCTATTTACACCATTGATGGTAACGCACACCTCTGTGCTAGTATCATCTGCCAAATTTGTTTCAAAGGCCCAAAAGTAACATGCACTCAATTGCTCATGTGTATATGTGTACAAACATGGTATGGAAGTTCACTCATTGGGCATTCTCTGTGCTGCCATGCCACATCCATGCGTCTTGGGCTGTTACATTAGTCTGCAGCAGTTTTGTCTGGGTGTACAATTCCTTGCTTTATAAGGGATCATGTAATTCCTCAGTTTCAGAAGTAAGACTGGAGGTTTTCACCCACCAATTTGTCACTGAAATCCTCAAACCAAGTGGCATACATATGTCAAGAGATTACTTCACCTATGTCTTTTTTGTTCCTTAATTTCCTGCAACTGAGTGATGCATCTTATGTTTTGCTAAACTGACACTTGTTGCAATAGAATTATTAAAAAGGCTGAACTGCACTCAAACAGGTGTAATTACCTCACCCTATGGGCAGATTTGTTACCGTGTTTCAAGAAAGATCTGGATTTTATGATTCACTTCATGTCCAAAGTACTTCAGTACAGCAGTGCACTAACAGCCTTGTAGTCTATTCCTATTGAAGCAGGTTTTTCATCAGAAATGCTGTCTTCACCCGTCATTAGAGCAGGAAAAACTGCACCACAGGGCTACATGGACTGCTCTGACTCTTTCGAGTATTTTCCCATCATCCTTCATGTGTTGCTATCCTCTCAATGCTTATGGCAGTGGATTGGAAACTTATGTTAAAAAAGAAAGACACCACCATAAAAACTGCATATGTTGTCTGTGATCTTAATCCCAAGCAAATCTGCCATGTCCGTAATTTGTCAGGTAAAAATTCCACTGCAAAGTACCTGCTATACACCGATCAGCCAAAACATTAAATCCACTGACAGATGACATGAACAATACTGACCATCTCGTTACAATGTCATGCTCTGCTGGGAAACCTTTGGTCCTGGCACGTGACAAAGAGTGCAAGGCATCAACCCACCTCACAACCGACATGTATCAAAGAATCCTCCACCGACACCCCAGTGCCAGACTCCACGGGACACCCCCAGAGGTCCTGTGTCCATACCTTGACAGGTCAGAGACAAGTCTGATGCAAGGAGGCCCCACAGTGGTTTAGAGGTACCTCTGGGGTACTGGCACATCCCACGAATGCTCGATCAGATTGGGATCTGAGGAATTTGGAGGCCAAGTCAATGTGTTGAGCTTTCTGTCACGTTCTTCCAGCCATTACTGAGCAATTTTTTCATTGTTGGATGCAGAAGGCTCATCACCCTACACAGCATGGAGAACCAATCACATAAAGATCAAAAGCGTGAAGCCAGAGCAAATTTCTAGAGATGATATTTGAGTAAAATACAGACTTTACTTATTCCTTGTGAATATGTTGTGTGAAACATAAACCTGGAGGGGTAACTTCTAAACCACATGAGGTCCCCTGGTAATACTAGACAAATGAGAATAGGGTTTAAGTCTCAAGCAGCTGCCAGTGTGGTAAGTCACAGAAGTATTGTTGTTGCACTGATGTTAAGAACGAGTCTTGGCATTTATGTTGTGTAATCTTGTATTTACGGAATGAAATACTGAATTGGCTCGTAGTATTTAAGAATTAGAAAGAGAGCATTCACCAGCAGTGAGTAGTGTTACGCAATATGTTTATTGTTTATCCACAAATCCCTTTTGGACAAAGAGTAGAGAGAGAATTTCCAGCGGTGGGATCCTACCAGATATTTTTAGATTTGTTGCTCATTTTATCCTCTGCCTCCTTGTGTGTGTCCTCCCTTTTCCTCCTTTACGCCGTTATTAATCTATCCTTTCTTCTCTCCCTCGCTCCCCAACTCATCTGCTCACCTCTCCTGATCCAATTCTGTTTTCAATCCCCATCCCATTTTCCCCTCTCATTGTTTCATCTCCCTTTTTCACTTCTCACCTCTGATCCTCCTTTTCTTTCTTCATCTCATTCAATGTTCGTCTCCTTTCTGCATTATGTCTCGTAAATAAATTGTCCCTCATTCTTCATTTCATTCCTCCCCCTCGCTGACCCCAGGCCATCTACTACGAGATAGGCTTCCTGGTTTGTGCAGCAGTCGGCCTGCTCTTCACCATTCTGGTGCCGATAGTCGGCCTCTTCTTCTGCATGTGCCGCTGCTGTGACAACTGCGGCGGCGAGATGCACCAACGCCAGAGGAAGAATGCGGACTGCCGACGAGGCCTGTTGGGAACGCTGCTCTTCTCCACCTCACTGGTCATCACGTGAGTATGACACATGCATACACACACATGACACACACGCATGGGGATAACAGCTTGCAAGCAGACGTGTATTTTTTGGTGCGTGCACACAGACACTGGAATTAAATGCAAACTACACCTCAGTCATCTATATTGTTGTACTCATGCACACACATTCAGGCAAAAACACACAGTACACACATGCACCACTGGTCACTGAGTCTGTTACACACACAAACGCATGCACATACACACACGGTCATCATCTTTCCCCATCCCCCATGCTGTTTGCTATATATAGTAAATTCCTACTGTAGATATTATGTGGCAGCACCCTTCATACTTGTGTTCAGGCTAAGCAATGGTCGTTATAATCCGCAGGAGATTCACACTGAAAGATTTAATTTACTGTGGAGGAAATTCTTCATTCATGTCAGTGCTAACATACTAACAAACGACTCTCAAATCCACAACATACCCTACAATCATAGTTATTCTATATGACTCACATGGTTCAAAAGAGGGCTACAGGACAATTCCATCTACACCTTACTATTCTCCTTGCCTTCCTTATATAATAATTATAATACTTACTGCATCTGCCTTCAGGGTTTATTATATTACCGCTCCAGCTGTCATTTCGCCATTTAACATGCACATTTTAAGCACTTGGCTCATGATTTTTATCCAGTGGGAAATGCAGTGAATCCAGCACTAGAATAAATTCCTACATTTCCAATGTTTCAAACTGTAGTAACTGTGATTAAATGTAGTAATCTAGGAATTTAATAGATAGTACCTCCAGCTATTTCTGGCCTTGGTATGGTTCTCCGGATACTCAGACCTCTCATACATATTTTATACATGAAAACAGGCAGCTGCAGGCCAGCAGGAAGGTCATGACTTCAGATGCTTTTAATATTTTTCATTTATCCTACAGTTCTTTAGGGTAAATGTTCTTAATACTGCAGAGCAGACATCATGGCCAGTGAGAAGTAGAAGCAAAGAGAGTGAAACTGCAGAAAGTTGAATTGCAGATGATGAAAACTGAATCAGAGATTGGTGGATTGACTACACTGTAAATGTTTCTACATGGATCTTTTCTTTTCTATCATTTCTAATCATACTAATCAATCCAAATCCAAATCATCGGACTTGCTTGACAGTGTTTTGCTCATCTTCACAGTAGACACACAAAAAATAAGAGTTTTCATGCATGAAAAGTTACAAGCATTCAAGGAAGTTAGCATCATAACTGTAGGATAAGTCATCACTTTGTTGAACTTTCACATTCATTATTGCAGATCTTAAAGCTGTAGTGCGGGACTTTTACATATAAATGAACATCCCTTACATTTAAGCCCTTGCTAAATGAGTTTACACAATGCTGAATGGGCCTGTCGCCACCAGGAAAAGATCTCTGTTTTGCAGTTCACTTGAGTTTTGGGTGTCTGTGGTAACTTTCCCGCGCTGATGCACCATAAGTGATGTGTTTTACGTCAACAAGCCAGAGCTAAAGGGGGCAGGAATGACAGAAGCTATGGCAGAAAAACCACATCCAAGAAAAGTTTCAGGAGTGGACATTCCAAATAAAAAGAAACTCTGCATTCAGATGAAGAAACAAAGTCGTAAACAGACTTGTAGAGAGCGCTTCTGAGAGTGGGTGAGATGCAGCGAGCTCACCTGCAGGCATATGTCCTAAGCATGCGTGAAAAGCGTTTGGGTAATTACTCACACTGCCAGAGGGGGAGACAAAAATCCCACACCCCAGCTTGATGTTGCATTCATGTGGTATCGGAATAATCAGGAAAATGAGGTTCCAACTGGGGAAATTCACGTGAAGACTCCCTCAAGTCAGTACAACAACTCAGAAAGCTGGCGAAAATGTTGCCAACTTTTGTGTGATAAATTCAAAAACATGGCGGACAAAAGTAGATGTTTGGTTGATAGTAAACTTTTTATCAATTCAAGTATTGACTATAATTTTTTTCTGTAATGAGTAATATGGTGTTAGATTGTGACCATAAATTGCTGTCCAAGTAGTGTGACCCAGATTAGTGAGTTAAGTCATTTATTAGCATAAACCCTGACAACAAGTCAGATAAAGTGATATTTTAGTTGTTTGGGGGAATATACTGATGCAGCAAGAAGTCTGGGGAAAAGAAAATTACTTTGTAATATAAAGCTATTGTCAAACAAATACTAGAAACAGCTATCAACATGTTTAAATGCTCTGAGCAAAACAATACAACAAAATCTTTGTGGCATCCATGTTGTTTCCACATTACAACTATATTCTAATGAAAACACCAAAGTTGGAAGACCGACTTCTCATCTCGGGAAATGGGACCATCCCAGAGCATGTAAATACAGCAATACCGTATCTACCACTTAAAGTGGCCCCCAAATCTTGTTGAACTTTTTTCCAAAGCTGGTTCTATCATAGTAAACTCTTTTGGCCATGACCAACCAAAACTCTACCCTACTCACTACATAGGGAGTTCTATGTAGAGGACAATATAATGAGCTCATCTGCAAGATGAAAGAACACTTTCGGACACTGCTCAGTTAATTTTCTCTGCGCCATTAATTACGTCAAAAAAGATGTCATATCAACACCGGCTGGTAACCAACCATAACAAATACTGCCATTCATATCTGTGATAAAAACATGAAATTATACTGAGCGCATTTTCTTCAAATTCATAAATAACGTTACAGAGTATTTTGTGGCCGTTTGTTTTGTTGTGATGCTGCTCTGCTCACAATAAATATAGGCCTATAAATAGCATTACACTGGCAGACAGCCAAGAGGAGAGAGTGCAGGGCGACTGCAACCTGTCCCACTAATGTACGTCATCTTCTGTTAAACCTTTGTTGTGTTAAAGTTTGTTTTACCAGTCTGTCGTGTAATAACTTGGTCTCAATATCCGACCCATATTGTCCATCTGTTTGGCGCAATGCATGATGGAATATATTGCTTTGTGACAAACCTTCGATTGTTCACTACTTTCTATGGTGCATTGTGGGATACTTTAAGTCCACTATACAAGGTATAATCATTCCCACTGAACATTCAGACAGCACTTGGTGAACTCATTAGAGAGTGGACTATGTAGTGAGTGATTTCAGACAGAACCATAGTTTTCTGTACATTGAAAGGTAACAACAGAGCATCTTCAGAGCAGCCAAGTTCATAATCCACCTATATTGCTCTTGAGGATATCTTCCACTGCAGCTCAACACTGAAACACAAAGTGGTAATTTTACGTTAAAAAGACAGTTACTTTAGAAGATTTGTTTAAATCAAACTGCTAAAGCCACCTATTAACTTCTGATAAGCTTTGGAATACATTTTTGCACCACACAAAACTTTTTTTTTTCCATCGCCTTTATTTGAAGTGCATTAGGATTACTGCTCTTAATGGCCAGTATGAACTGAATGAGTGATTACAGCAAGCAATGCCTATTATAGTGTTCATGTGGGGACCTGACCTGGGGAACCTATCCTTTAAGACTTTATCCTTTGTGAAGTAAGTGATGAGATTCCAGCTCGAATTGCACACAATAATGGAAAACTTGGGAGGAGTGGGCTGAAAATGTTTGGGAGTAAAGCCTGAAGTTTACTCTGTGCTTCTATGAGGCTATTACATCATCTCACTGAAACTCATCTCTCAGAAAATGGACCACGGGAAACTCAATCCACTCTCCACTCTGTTTTATAGTCTCAGCGGTACAAGGAGTAGCCGCTGGGGATGTAGCCACAGTACAAAAGGCTTGGGAGAGCTGCGTTTGCCTCTTGTGCTCGGACTGAAGGGATCCAGGAGTGTACTTAGTTTGATGTTCTTTGACTTTCTGTCTTCGTTGGAACGAAGCCCGGCTATTAGAAATTCCAAGGCAATATCCTAGAAGCCGAGACGCAAGAGTCTGAGAGCATCCTCACAGCTCTTATTAAATCTCCCCAGCTACCAGGCAGAGATGCTGCAGAGGCTCTAATGAAGCAATTACAGGCAAGAGAGGAATGAGTACTGAGCCCAGGCACAGACTGCTTTTTACCGCCACTAGAAAGCTGACAGCGAGGCACTGAGGAGTGGCAGGGGTGATATTTATTTTCCAAGTAGTGTTAAAATCGGATTAAGAGGGGTAAAAGACACCCAGGTAAGGGTGAGGACAATAAAATGGCTAAAAGGATGAGAGAGGAGAGTAAATGCACCCAAAACAAAATTATATTTACCAAGCCTGGACACTCGGTGATAAAGTGTAAGGCATACAGCACACCTGACAATAAACAACCTGCCACTCTGCATGGTAATACATGAATTATTTGCCTTACATTATTCCGGCAACATATTTCTAATAGTAAGCAGTAAATGTTGTAGTGTTTCTGCTCTACACTTCAGACAGGACTGTGTTTTACTTTCCTTGGATTTCCTTATAATTTATCACATTTTCACTTGCTCGGCGCTCTGCTGCTCCGTCTCCACAGTCAGTGTGCCAAGAGTGCGCTCTGCCACTCTGATAGCGCGCCGAATTTACGAACAGTCCAGTTTGTGACAGAGTGCGCAAAGGCACTCAGAATGAGTATTTCTGAATTCACTACTTGCGTCATCTTCCTCCATTGTCTTCCTCCAAACAAGCCAACAGAACTTGCTTGCTGCCGCTATCTAATGTCTGTGGAGAACTGTTTTGCCTCCAGCTAAGCCCTGCCCTCCAAAAAAACGTCATACTGTTTACTGACTGTAAAGAGGTCTTTATCGTAACTGTCCAGCACAGGGTCAGGATATGTATAAATTTACAAACAGAAATATAGGGCTGCCTTCACATATTGGAGTCAGATCAGTAGAACACTACAGTTGAGGGGGCTCCAGTGGAGAGGCGCTGAAACATTTCTTATGGTATTTCTATCTTAAAGTGTCTGGATGTAGTCAGTGCAATACTTTTATAATGATACAATTTTTCTTGGGATTTATGTGACAGAATCAGAGCAGGAGATGAGAAGAAAATCTCACTCTAGCATCGGC